GTAGCCAGATGAGTTAGTTTTCCAACGCATTTTGAATCGTCTCATCGGATATCGAAATACAAAGTTATGATAAAAACACTGAAAGAAGGTGCAGCTGCCTGTTTAAAATAAAAAATTCCGTTACATAGTCCGTTAAAACAACAAATTCCGTTAGTTTCTCCGTTAAAAACAAGAAATTCCGTTACATAGCCACTTTTAATATATAGAAGAAGAAATTGATATGACATGCAATGCAATGACGCAACTTCGAGCAAAGTTTCAACCGAGTCACTGAAATTCAATTTTAGTATCAAAATTCATCATTCCATCATCTACTGCATTTTAAATTGATGAACTTATTTGACAGTCAAACCGTAATAAAATTTTCACACAATTGTTGAGATATGTCAACGTACCACTACAAAAACACTTCTTTTCGCATTTTAATATAAAGTCATTTCCATAATCTTCATCTTAATATTTTCATTTCTCGGGTTCCATGAGGTGATTACGTGATTGCTAACTAAGCAATTTTTGTTAGTATTAGTATAGAAGATGATAAATAGGATAGATGACCGAATGTGACGGAGAGATGAAATTTGAAACTCAATTAAATTTCAATGATCCAATTGAAATAAGTTAAAATATAGCGAGCTTGCATGTGCTTTGTATATGTATTTATGTACGAATAATGCTCATTATACAATGTTGCAACACACGTGTTGTACATGTAACATTGTTCATTTATGTACATACATACATATAGTGCAGTTATTGAATTTTTACGTTGATTTTACGTTGTTACTATCCTTGGGACTGTAGCCCATATCTTGGGAAATGAGAGAATTTAGGAAAAAGACAAGTCCTGTGTCCCAATAATTCCCTTTCCAGGTAATATAATAATTTTCAAATTAGTTTTTTGTCAACCGTCCAGAAGGGGAGTGTCGACAAGCTTAAGTTAGAAAAAGATTTTTGGATTAAAATGATTTAGAAAATAAGTGTAATTCAATTTTATGCTAACATGCGATCACTTAGAAATGTTCTCTTGTTCACGATGAGAAATTTTATCTTACCCATTTGAAGATAATCTTACCTACGGTTCTTACATTTGGAAAGAACCGTAAATAAGATTCTCTTACCACATCAACAAGTATGTAGTCTCATCGTGCCCACTATGGATAGAAGAACAATTTCGTGCCTTCACTTGTAGAGAATCCTATCTCATGGATTTTAGTAGAAAAGGAGTTTCTAATTGAATATCAAGTCAACTTATTTTTGTGATAATGGGACGGGTGCATGTCTAAACCATATTAAGTTGGATAAATATTGGCTTTAGCTCATTTGAATTACTTGAGATGACAAAGTCCTTATTTGATATGGATTAAAATTGTAATTTTAATTTAAGTTAAAATCAATAATTAATTCTAACCATATATTTTATGAGACCACAATATTTCAATCACATATTTCATCAACTCTTATCAAAATCTAGAATATAACAACGAAATCGCAAAACTTTAAAATCGAACAGAAATCGCCTTTTTTTTTTTTTTTGAAAATGTTGGTTTGGATCGGCATGGACTATCAATATTTTTATTTTGAATCGAACCAAATAGCTTCGAATTGGTTTGATTTAAGATTCAATCTTTGCAAACAATTTCAAATGTCAAACTGTTTAAAAAAATCTAAAATAAATTATTAAATTTTATCCAATTCAATTAAAATTAAAAGTCATCACAGTTAAAATTTCACATCCATATAAGACATAACACAATTAAACTCAATATCTAGATATACAATTATACATCTCATTTAATTAATTAAATCATATTCAAATACCCATCAGTTATTACAACGATGAATGCCAAATCCTCAAATTGGGTGAAATGTTGAACAATTGTCGTCAACTCATATTCATCAATTGTCCATTACAATGGAGTAAACATTTAAATCTAAATTTTAATTCAAACTCGCATATTTCATCTTCTTCTACTAATAATTTTCTTGAATTTTAGCTAAATTTTTATATCAGTTTTTTTGGGCAATGTTTGCTATATTTTATTGGCAATTGTGTTGTTTTATTTTAATTTGTACCGAACTCCCTTAAATTTTTAGCAGACATCATATTTTGTTTATTTGCGTCTCAATTTGTTGGTAAATCACTAAATTAATTATTTACATTTTAATTTGATTTTTAGATTTTATTGTAAATTGTTAAAATGATTTGGTGAATTACTTAAATTTTCGTTTTGAAAATTTGATCAATGATCCTTTCGACATGTTATTTTGGTGGAAATTGAATGCAAATAATACAATATTGTCCTCCCCAAATTGTTAAAGATGTGTTAGCAATTTAAATATTCATAGATATTTATGAGTCTACAGTTCCTATTAGCATTGTTCTGAAAAGTGTATAGTGTGGTTAGGTGTAGAGACGAAGTTTCAAGTTTTAGGGGTTAAACGAGCCTAGACAAGGTTTAAACGTAAAAAAACGTTTTCTTATTTTTAATATTATTTTAAAATTTTAATTATTTTTAAAAATTAAAATAATACATATCAAATATCTAAAATTACAAAATATTATATTTACTTAATGTTTCGCGTGGGTTGCAGCTAACAATTAAAAAAGAAATTCAGACGATTGTGTAAGGGATAAACCTCTTGAGACAAAATCCCAAAAAGGGGAGCTTTATTGATGAGAGTTACAATTGGAAATAAACAGAATACTTTCAAGGGGAGCAAACACACGAGTACTGAAAATGAATAATTAACGTTAATTTAAGAAATTGAAATTACACATT